AGGTGGTGTGGGGCTAGTTGATGCTGCTGGGGAGGGAGGTGGTGGTGGGCTAGTTGATGCTGCTGGGAGGGAGGTGGTGTGGGGCTAGTTGATGCTGCTGGGGAGGAGGTGGTGTGGGGCTAGTGATGCTGCTGGGGAGGGAGGTGGTGGGGGGCTAGTTGATGCTGCTGGGGAGGGAGGTGTGTGGGGCTAGTGATGCTGCTGGGGAGGAGGTTGTGGGGCTAGTTGATGCTGCTGGGGAGGGAGGTGATGGGCTAGTTGATGCTGCTGGGAGGGAGGTGGTGTGGGGCTAGTGATGCTGCGGGAGGAGGTGGGGCTAGTTCATGCTGCTGGGGGAGGTGGTGGGGCTAGTGATGCTGCTGGGAGGGAGGTGATGTGGGGCTAGTTGATGCTGCTGGGGAGGGAGGGTGTGGGGCTAGTTGATGCTGCTGGGGAGGGAGGTGGTGGGGGCTAGTGTGATGCGCTGGGGGAGGGAGGTGGTTGATGGGGGCTAGTTGATGCTGCTGGGGAGGGAGGTGGTGTGGGGCTAGTGGATGCTGCTGGGGAGGGAGGTGGTGGGGGCTAGTGGATGCTGCTGGGGAGGGGTGGTGGGGCTAGTGATGCTGCTGGGGAGGGAGGTGGTGGGGCTAGTGATGCTGCTGGGGAGGGAGGTGGTGGGGCTAGTGGATGCTGCTGGGGAGGGAGGTATGTGGGGCTAGTTGATGCTGTGGGGAGGGAGGGGTGGTGGGGCTAGTGATGCTGCTGGGGAGGGAGGAGGTGTGGGGCTAGTTGATGCTGCTGGGGAGGGAGGTGGTGGGGCTAGTGGATGCTGCTGGGGAGGGAGGTGGTGGGGGCTAGTGGATGCTGCTGGGGAGGGAGGTGGTGGGGCTAGTGGATGCTGCTGGGGGGGAGGTGTGGGGCTAGTTGATGCTGCTGGGGAGGGAGGTGGTGTGGGGCTAGTGGATGCTGCTGGGGAGGGAGGTGGTGTGGGGCTAGTTGATGCTGCTGGGGAGGGAGGTGGTGTGGGCTAGTGGATGCTGCTGGGGAGGGAGGTGGTGTGGGGCTAGTGGATGCTGCTGGGAGGGAGGTGGTGTGGGGCTAGTGGATGCTGCTTGGGGAGGGAGGTGGTGTGGGGCTAGTGATGCTGCTGGGGAGGGAGGTGGTGTGGGCTAGTTGATGCTGCTGGGAAGGGAGGTGGTGTGGGCTAGTGGATGCTGCTGGGGAGGGAGGTGGTGTGGGGCTAGTGGATGCTGCTGGGGAGGGAGTGGTGTGGGCTAGTGGATGCTGCTGGAGGGAGGTGTGTGGGGCTAGTGGATGCTCTGGGGAGGGAGGTGGTTGGAGCTAGTTGATGCTGCTGGGAGGGAGTGGTGTGGGGCTAGTGGATGCTGCTGGGGAGGAGTGGTGGTGGGGCTAGTGGATGCTGCTGGGGGGGAGGTGGTGTGGGGCTAGTGGATGCTGCTGGGGAGGAGGTGGTGTGGGCTAGTGGATGCTTCTGGGGAGGGAGGTGGTGTGGGGCTAGTGATACTGCTGGGGAGGGAGGTGGTGTGGGCTAGTGGATGCTGCTGGGGAGGGAGGTGGTGTGGGGCTAGTGGATGCTGCTGGGGAGGGAGGTGGTGGGGCTAGTGGATGCTGCTGGGGAGGTAGGTGGTGTGGGGCTAGTGATGCTGCTGGGAGGGAGGTGGTGTGGGGCTAGTGGATGCTGTGGGAGAGGTGAGAGTGTTGGGAGGCTAGTGATGCTGCTGGGGAGGGGTGGTGGGTGTGGGGCTAGAGTGGATGCTGTTGGGGAGGAGGTGGTGATGGGCTAGTGATGCTGCTGGGGAGGGAGTGGTGTGGGGCTAGTGAGCTGACTGAGGAGTGGTGTGGGGCTAGTGGAGGTGAGGGATGGAGTGGTGTGGGGCTAGTGATGCTGCTGGGGAGGAGGTGGTGGTGGGGACTAGTGGATGCTGCTGGGGAGGGATGGGTGTGGGGCTAGTTGGATGCTGCTGGGAGGGAGGTGGTGTGGGCTAGTGGATGCTGCTGGGGAGGGAGGTGGGTGATGGGGCTAGTGATGCTGCTGGGAGGGGGAGGTGGTGTGGGCTATGGATGCTGCTGGGGAGGATGATGGGTGGCTAGTAGATGCTGTGGGGAGGAGGTGGTGTGGGGCTAGTGGATGCTGCTGGGAGGAGGTGGTGTGGGCTAGTGGATGCTCTGGGGAGGGAGGTGGTGTGGGGCTAGTGGATGCTGCTGGGGAGGGAGGTGGTGTGGGGCTAGTGATCTGCTGGGGAGGGAGGTGGTGTGGGCTAGTGGATGCTGCTGGGGAAGGTGATGGGCTAGTGGATGCTTCTGGGGAGGGAGGTGTGGGGGCTAGTGGATGCTGCTGGAGGGAAGTGGTGTGGGGCTAGTGGATGCTGCTTGGGAGGGAGTGGTGTGGGGCTAGTGATGCTTGCTGGGGTGGGAGGTGGTGTTGAGGCTAGTGGATGCTTGCTGGAGGGAGTGGTGTGGGCTAGTGGATGCTGCTTGGGAGGGAGTTGGGTGGGCTAGTGGATACTGTTGGGGAGGGAGGTGGTGTGGGGCTAGTGGATGCTGCTGGGGAGGGAGGTGGTGTGGGCTAGTGGATGCTGCTGGGAGGGATGGTGTGGGCTAGTGTGCTGTGGTGAGGAGGTGGTGCTAGTTGGATGCTGCTGTGGGAGGGAGTGATGGTGTGGGCTAGTGATGCTGCTGGGGAGGGAGTGGTGTGGGGCTAGTGTGATGCTGCTGGGAGGGAGTGGTGTGGGGCTAGTTGATGCTGCTGGGGAAGAGGGATGCAGTGGTGGGCTATGATGCTGCTGGGGAAGGAGGTGGATGCAGGTGTGGGACTATGGTGCTGCTGGGGAAGGGAGGTGGATCAGGTGTGGACTAGGATGCTGCTGGGGAAGGAGGTGGATGCAGGTGTGGGACTAATGGATGCTGCTGGGGAAGGAGGTGGATGCAGGTGTGGGACTAATGGATGCTGCTGGGGAAGGAGGTGGATGCAGGTGTTGTGTGCTGGGAGGAGGTGAGTGGGGCAGTGATCTGCGGGGAGGAGGTGGATGCAGTTGTGGGACTAGGATGGTGTGGGGAAGGATGGTGGGATGAGGGTGTGGGGACTAATGGATGCTGCTGGGGAAGGAGGTGGATGCAGGTGTGGGACTAGTGGATGCTGCTGGGGAAGGAGGTGGATGCAGGTGTGGGACTAATGGATGCTGCTGGGGAAGGAGTGATGCAGTGTGGGACTATGGATGCTGCTGGGGAGGATGGTGCAGGTGTGGGACTATGATGCTGTGGGGAGGAGGTGGATGCAGTGGTGTGGGGATAGTGGATGCTGTTTGTGGAAGGAGGTGGATGCAGGTGTGGGACTAATGATGCTGCTGGGGAGGAGGTGGATGCAGGTGTGGGACTAAGTGGATGCTGCTGGGGTAGGAGGTGGTATGCAGGTGTTGGGACTATATGGATGCTGCTGGGGAGGAGGTGGATGCAGGTGGTGTGGGCTAGTGATGCTGCTGGGGAAGGAGGTGGATGCTGGTGTGGGGACTAATGGATGCTGCTGGGGAAGGAGGTGGATGCAGGTGTGGGACTAGTGGATGCTGCTGGGGAAGGAGGTGGATGCAGGTGTGGGACTAATGGATGCTGCTGGGGAAGGAGGTGGATGCAGGTGTGGGACTAGTGGATGCTGCTGGGGAAGGAGGTGGATGCAGGTAGTGGGACGAATGATGTGGGCTGGAAGGAGGTGGATGCAGGTGTGGGCTAAGTTGATGCTGCTGGGGAAGGAGGTGGATGCAGGTGTGGACTAGTGATGCTGCTGGGGAGGAGGTGGTGCAGTGTGGGCTATAGATGCTGCTGGTAAGGAGGGGATGCAGGTTGGGACTAATTGATGCTGCTGGGGAGGGTGGATGCAGGTGTGGGACTAATGGATGCTGCTGGGGAAGGAGGTGGATGCAGGTGTGGGACTAATGGATGCTGCTGGGGAAGGAGGTGGATGCAGGTGTGGGACTAGTGGATGCTGCTGGGGAGGAGGGATGGATGCGGGGGGTTGTGGGCTATTTGATGCTGCTGGGGGAGGGGAGGGTGTGGGCAAATTGGATGCTGGGGGGGGAAAGGAGGTGGTTGGGGCTAGGGGGGATGCTGCGGGGGAAAGGGGGGTTTGGTGTGGGGCTATGAGTGTGGGGAGGAGGGGTGGGGCAGTGAGCTGCTGGGGGAGGTGGGGGGCTAGTGGATGTGGGGGGGGGGGGGTGGGGCTATTTTGTTTGGCTGGGGAGGGAGGTGGTGGGGGCTAGGGGATGCTGCTGGGGGGGGAGGGGGTGGGGGCTAGTGGATGCTGCGGGGGAGGGAGGTGTTGTGGGGCTGTTTGCGCTGGGGAGGGGGGGGGTGTGGGGTATTTTTGATGCTGTGGGGGGGAAAGGGGTGTGGGGCTTTTGGAGCTGCTGGGGGGGGAGGTGGTGGGGGCTTTATGGGGGATGCTGCGGGGGAGGGAGGTGGTGGGGGGCAGTGGATGCTGTGGGGAGGGGGGTGGTGGGCTAGGGGGGATTGCTGGGGGGGGGGTGGGGGGGCGTATGCTGCTGGGGGGGGGTGTGGGGCTAGTGGATGCTGGGGGGGGGAGGGGGTGTGGGGCTATTTGATGCTGCTGGGAGGGAGGTGGTGTGGGCTGTGGGTGCGCTGGGAGGGAGGGGTGTGGGGCTAGTTGGACGTGGGGAGGGAGGGGGGGGGGGGGTAGTGGATGCTGTGGGGAGGGAGGGGTGGGGGCTATTTGTTGCGGGGGAGGGAGGTGGTGGGGGCTAGTGTGCTGTTTGGGGAGGGAGTGGTGGGGGCAGGGGGATTGCTGCTGGGGGGGGGGGGGGGGGGGATTTTGGGGGTGTGGGGGGCAGTGGATGCTCTGGGGGGGGGTGGTTGGGGCAGTGGATGGGTTTAGGAAGGGGGTGGGGGGGGCTAGGATGTTTCTGGGGGGGGGGTGGTTGGGGCTAGTGGATCTCTGGAGGGGGGGTGGTGTGGGGTGGGGATGCTGCTGGGGAGGGGTGGTGTGGGGTTAGTGGATGCTGGGGGGAGGTGGGAGGTGCTGTGGGGCTAGGGGATGTTTCTGGGGGGGGAGGGGGGTTTGGGCTTGGATGTGGGGGGAGGGGGTGGTGGGGGGCTAGGGATCTTTTGGGGAGGGAGTGGTGTGGGGCTAGGGGAGCTCTGGGGAGGGGGGGGTGGTGGGGCAGTGGATGCTGCGGGGGTGGTTGGGGTAGGGGTGCTGCGAGGTGGAGGGTTGGGGTTGGATCTGCTGGGGAGGGAGGTGGTGTGGGGGGAGAAGGGATGTTGGGGAGGAGGGGGAGAGGTGTTGGGGTAGGGGATGTTTTTTTGGGGGAAGGAGGTGGGGGGTTGGGACTGGGGAGTGTTGGGGGAAGGGGTGGATGCAGGGGGGGGCAAAAAGGGATGCTCGGGGGGGGAGGGGTTAGGTGTGGGGAAATGGTGCTTGGGGGAAAGGAGGGGATGCAGGTGTGGGACAAATGATGCTGTGGGGAAGGAGGGGGATGCAGGTGTGGACGTGGGTGCTGTTGGGGAGGAGGGGGGTGGGGCAAATTTATGGCGGAAAGGGGATGGTGTGGGGTATGGATGCTCGGGGGAGGGGTGGTAGGGGCTATGGATGCTTGGGGGGAGGGGGTTGGGGCTGTGGGGAATGCTGCTGGGGAGGGGGGTGGGGGTTTAGGGGGGTTTCTTCTGGGGGGGGAGGGTGGGGGGGCTAGGGGATGCTTGGGGGGGAGTGGTTGGGGCTTATGGGGGGGATTTGGGGGTTTTTGGGGATTTTTGGGGGGTGGGGCTATGGGATGTTCTGGGGGGGGGTTGGTGGGGCTATGTGCTGCTGGAGGAAGTGGTGTGGGGCTAGGGGATGCTGTTTGGGGAGGGAGTTGGTGTGGGGTAGTGATATTTTGGGGGGGAGGTGGTGTGGGTAGGGGAGCTGCTGGGGGGGAATGGTGTGGGGCTAGGGGAGCTGTTTGGGAGGGATTTTGGTGTGGGGCTAGGGATCTTTTGGGGGAGGGGGGTTTGGTGGGGGTGTGGGGCCTAAATGGGGGGGCGGGGGCTGGGGGGGAAAGGGGGGTGGGATTTTAGGGGGGGGTGGGCAAGGTGGCTGGGGAAAAGGAGGTGGGGGGGCAGGGTGTGGGTAATGGGGGGGGTTTGGGGCTGGGGAAGGGGGGTGGATGCGGGTGGGGGCTATTTGCTGTGGGGGAAGGGGAGGGTGCGGTGTGGGACTAATGGTGCTCGGGGGAAGGAGGGGGATGCAGGTGTGGGCTAATGGGCTGCTGGGAAGGGAGGGGATGCAGGTGGGGACTAAGGGGTGCTGCGGGGGAAGGAGGGGGATGAGGTGTGGGACAATGGTGCTGCGGGGGAAAGGAGGTGGATGGGGGTGTGGGACAAAGGGGTGCTGCGGGGGAAGGGAGGTGGATGCAGGTGTGGGACTAATGGTGCGCTGGGGAAGGGTGGAAAATGCGGGTGGGGAAGGGGTGCTGCGGGGAAGGGTGGATCCTTTTGGGGGAAAATGGATCTGCTGGGGAAGGAGGTGGGCAGGTTTGGGACAAATGGATGCTGCGGGGGAAGGAGGGATGCAGGTGTGGGCCCTAATGGATGCGCGGGGGAAGGGGTGGATGAGGTGGGGGCTAATGGATGCTGGGGAAGGAGGTGGAGCGGGTGTGGGAAACTATTGGATGCCGGGGAAGGGAGGTGGAGCAGGGTGGGACAAAAATGCTGTGGGAAGGAGGTGGAGCAGGTGGGGGCTAATGGATCTGTGGGAAGGAGGTGTCAGGTGGGGGGCGTTGATGGCTGGTTAGGAGGGGATGAGGTGGGGGGTAGTGGATCTGCGGGGGGAAGGAGGTGGATGCAGGGTGGGACTTTTGGTGGAAAAGTTAATAAATTAAAATGGTGTCACCTGGTACTTGATTATACAAACATGTCTTGGCGAAGAATCGATTTCCAGGCTGAGGGACTGATTCCCTAATATCAAACATTCTTCTCTGTTTGCTGATGAAGCCAGGTTATGAAAGATTTCCACAATCACGACCCAAGTGTTGAAAAGTGTTTGATTATCAGCCTGTTTGTTGACGAAGCATTTTAAATAGAGATGTCTGGGGTGTTTGTTTGTCAGGAGCACCTTAGTCACGACTTCGCATGACTAAACTTCTTAACACTTTTAAACTCATGAACTAGGAATTGGGTTAAGAACATGTGAAAATCTGGGGATCTTTTTTGTAGACGTTTGCCATCCCGTGGGTTTTAATCAAAAAAATTTTGGGCAAACTTTAAGAAATAGAACTATGTACAGAAATGAGGTAAACAGTCCCCTAAAAACCCAGAGTAGGTGGGGAAGAGCACCATAGTCTGGTCCCTTTTGCCCCTACCCCTAGGTTGTGGGATGTTCCCTCATCTTCTGTACATAGTTCTACTGTTTTCAATTTATGCCAAAATTTTGATTGATAAACCCATGGTTTGGCGAACTCTCCCAAAAAAATCCAGATTTTGCACATTGTCTTAACCCCTCTTTTTGTGGGTATTGTATCCATTGTACACAACTAGAGAATTGTTGATAACGTTCCCAGTAGCCCGGGGGTTGTCTTCTAGATCCCGGTTGTTTTAGATCCCGGGTTTGTTTTCTGATCCCGGTTGTCTTCTAGATCCCGGGGTTTCTGACCCCTGGTTGTTTTAAAGATCCCGATTGTCTTCAAGACCCCCTGATTGCCTTAAGACCCTTGGCTGTGTTAAAAAACCCGGGCGTCTTCAAGCCCCCGGGCTGTCTTAAAGACCCGGGCTGTCTTCAAGATCCCGGGTTTCTTCAAGATCCCTGGTTGTTTTCAAACCCCCGGGTTGTCTTAAAGACCCCCGGTTGTCTTAAAGACCCCTTTTTGTCTTCAAGATCCGGGTTGTTTTAAAGCCCCCTGACTGTTTTCAAGATCCTGTTTGCCTTAAAGCCCCTTGGCTGTGTAAAACCCCGGGGCTGCTTCAAGCCCCCGGGGATGTCTTCAAGTCCCGGTTTTTAAAGATCCATAGTTCTTAAAGATCCCTGGTTGTTTTTCAAGACCCCTGGTTGTCTTCAAGATCCCTGGTTTCTTCAAGACCCTGACTGCTTAAAAGCCCCCTTTGCCAAAAAGACCCTTGGCTGTGTTAAAAAACCCCTGGCTGCTTCAAGCCCCCGGCTTCTAAAAGACCCTGGATGTTAAAGATCCATGGTTGTCTTCAAGCCCCCTGGATTCTTCAAAACCCCGGGGCTGCTTCAAGACCCCGGGCGTCCCCAAAAAACCCCTGGCTTTTTAAAAACCCCCTGGTTTTCTTTAAAAACCCCTGGCTGTCTTCAAGACCCTTTGCTTTTTACCGGGGAGTTCCGGGGGTCAACGCCCCGCGGCCCGGTCTGTGACCAGGGCCTCCGGGTGGATTTGAGCCTGATCAACCAGGCTGTTCGGGTGGCTGCACGCAACCAACGTAGGCCAGGCCGGCTGGTCAGGTTTCCGATTTGGTCTTGTCCGTGCCAGCTTGAAGACTGCCAGGGGGCTATTGGAAAATTTCCCCTTATGTATGTGGGAGGCAGTTGAACGTCTCGGGGCCCCTGACACTTATTGTTGGCCTTAATGTAGTGGCAGCCCCGCTTTTCTTGGGGGGATTTGCATCGTCTGCCAAATCTTTTGCTTTGTTGGAGTGATTTTCGTGTGCAAGTTCGGTATAGTCCCCCTAGGATTTTCCGGTGTAATAATATGTATCTTCCCGCCCGCGTTCCCGGGAGTACAGGTTTAAAGGGAATTCAAGGCTCCCGTAATTGAGGTGTTTTATCTCCGTTTGCGCGCCGTGAAGGCTCTCTGTACTTTTTCTAGGGCGGCAATTTTTACCTGCCTTGAAAGGTGCTGTTAGTGTGCCAATTTCCAGCCTAGATAGAACAAGTGACTGAAGAGTGTCATCATGGGCTTTCATCCCCAGTTTTGAAGGTTCTCATTATCCATCCTGTCTTTTTCTAGCAGCTGCAGTTTTATACAAAGTTATGGTCCTTGAAGGTGAGATCCCCGACATGATCATCCCAGGTCTTTGCGTTGGTGTTTCGCTCTATTTTGTGGCCCCAGAAATTTTCTTTGTACTCTGAGAAGATTTATTTCCTCTTTTTACCCTATTGAGTAATTGAAAAATTTTCAAAGGTTGAACTTCTTTTTTTTTTCTGCAGCCCATTGAAAGATTTTGGGTTTATGCCGCCTGGAGCTTGCGTGTCGCTGGGGACACTGTCATCAGTTCGGGGGTTTATTGCAAAGGGGAAAACACGGGCTGTGGCTGAATCCTTTTCTATGTCAGATAGGGAGAGGAACAAGATGGGAGCAAGTAGTTCCCTTTTGGGAAAAGAACTTTTTACCGTGCCGCCCCGGCTTTTCTCGTTTCGATCTTCTGTGTTCTGTTTGAGGAAAAAAATAGATCCTCGACCGACTTTTCCGTTATCCTTTACACAATTTTTTTCGCTTTACGCTGGTACCCTTGTCGAAGGCTTTTGCAAAATCTGTATTATTTCTCTCATTTTTTTGTCTTCTAGTGCATCTGGACCTTGTCGTAGTGATCCAAAGTTGGCAGACAGGAGGACCTGTTTAAAAACCCCTTTTGCCCCGGGTTGTGTAACTGTGGGTTTTAATTTTCGTGGTGATCTTTCTTTTAGGCCCTTTTTAAAGATTTTTATGTATGGGTGTTAGTGCTATCGGGCTGTAGTTCTTTGCTGTTGCTTTACTGCCCCCTTTGTGGGTGGGGGGTTGCCCGTTGTTTTTGTATGTGGGACGACCCCCCCTGTCCATGTCCCCCTCCCTAGGATGGAAAAGGCTGTAAAAGGGGCTTCTTTCAGTTCTTGATGAACAGGAGTTCAAGGTCCCCGGGGTCTTCAAAACCCCCGGCTGTCTTTTAAGGTCCCTGGCTGTCTTCAAAACCTCTGGCTTCTTCAAGACCCCTGGGGGTCTTCAAGGGGCCCCGGCTTCTTAAAACCTGGCGTTCAAAGGGCCCTGGCGTCTTCAAAACCTTGGTGTCTTAAGACCCCTGGTGTTTCAAGGGCCCTGGGTGTTTCCAAAA